GTCAGATGTACAGGTACAGGTACTGTAGCTACTTGAACCAGTGATGAGTAATTTAACCTACACATCATTTTATTTGCTACCTTGTTTTGTCTTGATTTTTCCCTCTCTCTCCTCCTCTATTTCTTCTTTCCTGACCCGTTTTTTTTTTTTCTCTATTATGTGATTTCATTAATGTTTTGACAGGGGAGTTTCTTTGATAAGCTTTTAGTGGCTTCTAACCTCTCCGGCACTTTTCTTTGTTTAATCTTGTAAATTTTATACTGTCTGTTTTTAACATTATGTGCAAATAAACTAATCTAAACTAAAACTAAACATTATTCATCCCGTTATGCGTTGCCACGCATGTTTCCTCCTCCTGCAGCTGCCACGGTGTTGGCCTTTTCTGTAATGTTGCTTCTCTCCTCCTCATATTTTAGAAGAATTAATCTCTGATCCTCACGAGAAATACTTTTTTTTCCCCTCACATACGGCGCTCTGTGAGGACGCTCTGTGAGGACGCTCAGTGATGCTGCGCTTCTCTCGTGATTGTGATTGGTCCGCTGCGTGCGCGTTCACGGCTCTTGATAAAGCAACCCTGGGTTGAGTTACCGAGTTGATATCCAGCGTCGTGATACCGATTATCCTGATTGCCATTGTTAGGATTAGTCAACCCAGGATAGGTCTGGGTAACCCAGGAAAGGTTGATCTCACTTCGTGATACAGGCCCCTGGTGATTTCAACTGCTATAAACACTGAATAAACAGTTTCACAGTAAAAATCAGTGTTTTTCTGACACTGTTTGGCTTGTTGTGGAGGGGCTGCAAACTGTGGTGGCTGACATGAAAACGTGAGTGGCCCTATCTAGAGACAGTGTTTAGTTTGTCTGTTCTGGGCTGCTGTAGGAACATGGTGGTGCAATATGGTGGACTACGTGGACAAGGAGCTGCTCCCTTGTAGATATAAACGACTCATTTTGAGGTAATAAAAAAATAACTTTCAGGCGATTATATTCTAAAGAAAACATACTTATTATATTATATTCTATTTCTGTCAATCCTACACACTGGACCTTTAAAATATCAGCCTATCAGGAGCTACAAAATACAATTGTTTGTGTTTAATAATTCACTTCTGAATCTTTAAAAGTATTTTAAAAGAGCCAGATTATTTTATTCTACTTTACACTGTGCATGGGAAATGCTGTCAAAATGAGCTATGAGTCATCTAACAAGTTGCCAATCATAGTTCTATATTCATATCCTTAAGTTTTCATATTGAAAGTCAGTGGATTGACAGAAATCAGTTTCGCAGGAAGGCTTGTGTTGTGAGTTTGCATTGCTGTAGCATGAAACTGTGGGGCAACAATGATGGTCTTTCCCTAAGGTAAAGGTGAAACAAATGTGTTGAGTTTGCCCACCAGCTTAGTTGTTTGCACAGGCTTGAGATTCCAGTTAGATGACAGTGTAAGGGTCCACCTCTTACCTCTGGCCCTGAATTGTTGTCTGTTGAAGTTCAAGTGTGCCATCCTCCTCTTCATCACCCTTCACCTGTGGAAACATGGTGGTTAGAGCATACTGTCTCTACAGGAAAAACACTCCCAGGTAAAATACAGGATAATGCAAAGAATCACATTTCCTTAAAAATATATGCGTAGTTTATTGTTCTGTCTAAAAGCAGAGCATAGTCACAGCTTCATACACAGTGGAAGGGGGCAGGCCTGCGCAGTCACACACGGAAGTGAACTGCCCAGCGCGTACGTGTCATTCAGCCACTGACAGAGCGTGCAGCGCTGCGGAAGTTAACATCTTATTACCCACATCCTTTAGCAACTCACAATGAATTCATAAAATCGTTACATCTCTGCTCAAAGCAAATGAGCTGGTGCCTAAACCTTGCACTAAGCAATATAAGGTTAGACGCTGAAACAGTAGCTACTGTTGGCTAACTGACTGTTTGGCTGCTGAGTCTGCAGAGCTCACCACCCACACTGACTCACATAGCCTAGCTAGTAGCTGTGAGCTCATACATTCAATGAACACACTATAACATCATATGGTAGCATGCCGTTAACCTGCACATGATTGCTGCTGTCAATTTAGAAAATACGCAACCTTTAAGTGATACAAAATCTTGCACAGCGAATAAATGATTAGCCTACAATAAAGTGGCTAGCATGCTAAAGCTAGCTAGCCGGTTATGGGCAGACGTGTTCGCGTTATTTATTTAAGTCACTGATGTTTGTCTCACCGAGGCTCCGATGTACGCCAGGTGCGGGGCCAGGTCAGCCTCCACCGCCAATATGAAGCTGTGCACGGCAGCGTGTCCCTGGTTGGACAGCACGATCTCCACGGTGATCTTAGCCAGATGAGTGCCCAGGTCCACTGTCCTCTTCAGCTCCTCGTTCACCAAGCCGTCCGCTGAAACCTCGGAGCTCACCGCCGCCAGCAGGAGCAGGCAGGCGGCGAGAAGTGGCGACTTTCGAGTCATGGTTGGAGAAATTACAGAGCTGAAATACCGGGATGAGAGAGGACAGACTGTGGGAAATGCAGACGGCGAAGAAAGGCCGCCGTGCCGCTCTACATCAGAAAGGATGACGCTTCATTCGGGCTGACGTGATGACGTCACGGTGCGCTCGTTACAGCGCTCTGTGCGTCGGAAGTGACCGTGAAATCTGACAAACAGAAAAACAATAAAAGTTAAGATTTTTAAAAGACAAAACGGTTTTAATACAACCCGTGAAACGTTTTACCTCCAAAAGTTGGGCCCTGTTGGACTGTGTGCTCATGAAATAACTCTAGTAGTGATCTTTTCTGGCTTATTGAAAGAGCTCGTGTCAGGTTACTGTTACCATAGTAATAACATACATTTTTGTTTCTTTTCATAGGGCAGTTATCTTTTATATATTTTCGTTTTTGTGTCAGTCGTAGGATGTATCAAGCCGAAATAGCTCAGTTGGGAGAGCGTTAGACTGAAGATCTAAAGGTCCCTGGTTCGATCCCGGGTTTCGGCAGTGATGTGTGGTTTTAGTGTTGCAGAATAGGTAATGTCATCTGTGGGTAACTCATTGAAAACTTGTTTGCCACAGTTACATTAGGAAGTTATCTGCGGTCTCAGTAAATGTCCCGTGAAAGCTTTGTTTGACAGCCAAAGTCCACAAGCATGCAGGCAATCAAGATCCAGTCCTTGGACACTATAATTTTGTGTATTAAGAGATGTTGCTCACACATTAATCAGTTTTGCTCTGCCACACATTGACTGCTGAAGATGACATTACCTCATATTATTGACACCTGGGGGTGGCAGCAATCATTTATAAAATGTCATACAAAACAAAGCATTGTGTGTTAGGTGTTGGATTTGCAATGTGTGTATTCACAGAAAAATAGAAATCTAATGACCTTAGATGTAACTGGCTGACACATGTAAATTAAATGTGATTACTAAATTCTCAGTATTAGAATACAATCTGGATACAGGGAGTGTAAACTGAGTTAAGGACATAATTCAATATATTATTTAACTATAGAGAATTGTTTAAAAAATGTCTGCAAATGCCTTAAATGTAACTTGGGATTCACTTCCATAGAAGCCATAACACAGAGGCATGGAATCACAGATGTAACAAGAAAAATCGTCAGTGTGTCAGTTAAATTTTTTTTAAAAAGTCATCATCACAGGTAACATACTGGCCATCATCAGATACTCAGATGGTATAGTAAGCTGGCCAAGAGAGGGTACTGATGCTGCTGACAGGGCTGCTGCAGACCTGGAAACATCTCAAATTCTCATCATCATTCATCTCATCATTATTACACCCCAAAATCCAACATAGACACTGTAGACCCACTGGAAAGGATTAAGTTAGCGTCAAGGCAGGGGCCTAAATATGGACAGTGCAGGCAGTACAATTACACTGGGGTCCGCAAGTTGGGCCCATAGAGAAAGATGGCCCTCCACCAATGTGTTGGGTGGAGAATGGGCCTAAAACAGTCAATGGCATCTTTAACAAAATTATAAGCTTTTTCTATGACAATAAATCAACTATTCTATACATCAAATATTCAGATTCTTAAATTAAATTAACAATTTCTTATTTTCTTTAGTATTTTTTTGTCATATACAGATATGCAGTGATGATTGCAGGGTAATAGGTATTGATGTAATCCAATGTCAAGTCTCTGATCATGTGACAAGACGGTATGGGGACGATAGCACGCACTGGGGACCATCTTAACTACCTTACATCACTGTGTCAAGGCCACTGTCTTTCTTGAAAAACAGCAAAACAATAACCCTGGATATTTTGGTAACATGTCTCCCAAACTGATAACCAAGAGAGTACCACAGCTACAGACATGGGTGTGAATTAAAACCTACCAAACTGCTAACTAAGAGAGGTGTGAATTAAAACCTACCAAAAGAGACATGGCAGGCCAAGACCCTCTTTGGATGACACCACAGGCAGACAGCAGAGATGGCTCAGCATCTTCAAACCCTACCAATGACTGGAAAAGTCTGGAGTGGAGGAGAGCAGTAGGAGAAACAGGGGAGTGGCACACACTTTTGCCCCTGGCCATGCATACAAAGCTAAAAGGAAAGCCACATTTCACTTGCAGCAGGACTGCAGATGATCAGAAGGCCCACATCTTGTTGTTCTGTATACTCATTAACAAATAGTAGCAGTTGTTATCCAGGACTATCACAATGAATGCATGCGGTTGAATGCTCAGTTAGTTTTAAAGGTAAATGAACTGGCTTTTCTGTCCTTTTACACATATAACACGAGATATATGGATACATTTATGTCTAATTTGCATCAGGATGGGATTGTTAGCTGTGCGGACTATGCATGTAATCTGCTAGTCATCTGTCATTAACTTTATATTATAATTCATGACAATTATTTTGTTACTATATTGTATATTGTAATTATAATTATTTTTATTTGTGTCATTGTGACTTCTCAGGATCCTGTGGAACAAGGCGTGTCCAGCGCGTGACGTCAGCCCTCACCGACGAGCTTGTTTTGGAGGAAGTGCACAGAGCTCGGCTAGCAGCTAGCGCGTTTAGCTTGACAGGAAAAGCAAGCGTCAACGGGAACGGGGCGAAATAGACCATTGTACCAAAGCGCTTCTGTTACACGAAAGGAGGGATACGTCGGTAGTGGCAGTGTTGACTTCAATAAACAGAGTTAGCTGCGAGGCTAGCTATCAGAAATTATTCAGCTGTCGACGCTCTGAACGTGTTGTTTTCTTACGGCAGACGTTTACAGGAGCCGTTAGCCTGTTAGCTAGCCTGCGCGTTAGCTAACGCTTCCAACCGAGGCAGAAGAAAAGTCCACTTTTGATATTCTCCACCGCAGGATCACCGCGCAGGTTGGTGCCTTGTGGCTTTAGCCATTGGTTTTACTAACGGTGTACATCGACGATAGTGATGTCGTTAATTAAGTTTCACATTTGTTAATAAACCTAGCTTAGCTAACTAAACGTTAGCTTAAATTAAAAAGTGTCAATGATATGGTAATTGCTAGTTGACAAGGCGTGTAAAACGTCTAGCTTTCACCATTTTGAAAGGTTTTTAATAACGATACTCTTCCTTAACCTATGTGTTATCGTTTTCTTGCATTTTCTCATCCAGCTATGAGGCACTTGCTCTCCAAATGTAATTTGTATTCTTCTCTGCTAACCCTTTGCAAATATGTTAGATGTCTTAATGGCTGTTGGGTATAATGCTAAATCAGGACTCTGTCTGCTTCAGTTTACAAAGTGGGAATATTTACAGCCAGATTGGTCGACAGATTGATCATAACTAAGGATTATACCGGTATGTGTATTGTTTGCAACCGCAGCATTTGCTGTGCTAATCATGCCTGCCAAGTCATGGTTCCGTTAGTTCTGTGTTTTAAAACCATGTGATCAGTCCCTGACACAGTGTCATGGGGTGCAGATTATGAGAGCCGCACCGATAGCTCGATGCTAGTTTTGCCTCATAATAGCTCTTGGTCTGGATCCGAGGCGATGGTTTTTATTCACACTAGTGGCTGTAAGTGTTAAGCAGTGTGTGGATCAAACCTTTGACTGCTTTTTTTATTCCAATAATGCTTTCTCCAAAGTTTAACCTGAATAGAAGGATGATTTAAAGCCCCCGGGTAATTGAGGCTGGACTTTGGTCATTACAGCTGTATGAGGTGGTTTATTATTACAAAGCTCACTCGGTCAAAGTAAGAAATGCTTGTTGGTGTCTTAGCAGGGGCAAGGATGAGAATGTTATATCATGAGTTTAGTACAAAAATAATCTTTGAGGATTCAGATCCAATTAATATAAATATGGTTACAGTTTCACATGTTGTCATCAAGAATAAAACACACATCTGCATGATACAGATGTGAAAACACAATGGGAAAGTTTAGCCCATTAGGGATCTTTTGTTTGGAAATATGATTACTCAGTGGGGGAAGGTGGATTACATTTAAAGAAGAAGAGTTGACAATAGCTAAATCCTACAATGAGACCACCTATTTTCCCAAATTTTACATGTTGGTTTTACTAAAATCAGTTAAGTGTGTATGAAGGTAATCATTGAAGTGCAGCACCTGCGTGTGTGGTAGAACAAATACAGAGCTCAGTTGGGAAGTTATCATGATGCAGTACAGTGTAGACATGTAGTGATTAATATGATTCATGGCTCCATTCAGTATTTGTGGAGTATATTCCATATTTGTTTTCAATTCATTGTAATTTTCAGCTTTATAAAGGAACAAGAATTGTATATTGGGAGTGAAACAATGTCATTCTTTTGAATGGTTTGTCAGATGTATGAATTTAACAAAATCACTATAATGAAAACAACCAGCTGTAGTGACACAAATAGTAGATGTCATCTCCGCCGCACTGCATTGTTCGGCATAATTTGGGGGAGAAATAAAGCACAGTGAATTGTTTCATGAATTGTTTTAGAGAACAATGCAGTGTAGCGTGTTTTTTTTACCTCCTATTATTGTAGTTTTCTGTGTTCATGAGGCAAAGAAAACACAAGTAGAGGAGACGGCGCACTTGGTTTCATTCCTGGAACTGGCCCGTTTCTTTGGAATGTATTTCGAGAGGCAAACAGACCTTATCATCTTTCAGTTAAACCTGTTGGCCCATATCTAAAGGGGCATCACAGGGGCAAGGCTGTATCCCTCTTGTGCTGCTTCGCTTCTTTTAGTTTTCTTCTTCCCTCTAATTAACTTTTTTCTTCTTTACAGCTGTGGCACAATGACTTCAAGGAAGAAAGTACTACTCAAAGTCATCATCCTTGGAGACTCTGGGTGAGTGTTGTTGAGCCATAGCCTCGAAGCTAAAGGGTGGGACAACAATAGCGATGCTTGATGGTTTATTTTTAAAAAAGAAAAACATTTAACAAGAGTATTTAATCTAGTCTGATAATAATACACTCACTCTGTTGCAGCAAACAAGGAACCTTCCATCAATCAGTTCATCGCAGTCACTTTTTTTTCCTGCACTTGTTTCTGCTGTCACATGCTCTGAATGTTGTCCTTGATTTTATGTTTTCTCCTAGAGTTGGGAAGACCTCGTTGATGAACCAGTATGTGAATAAGAAGTTCAGTAACCAGTACAAAGCCACAATAGGTGCTGATTTCCTGACGAAAGAAGTCATGGTGGATGACAGACTTGTCACAATGCAGGTATGGAGGAAATGATAAACGAATGCCACACTGGCTTATCTCTAATTCAAACACAATTATCATATCTAAAACAATCACGGAATACAACGAAAAGCTTATACAATGTCTGATATTAAAGAAAGAAACACAAGCTTATATTTATCCCCCACACTAACAAGGGACTGTCAAGAGTTTTAAGTTACATTTCTAGTATGGTACAACACATCACTCCAAGCTTCATAGCAGCTGTCCAACAAACAGTGCTGGGTAATTAAGAAGATCTAGATAATGTGACCCATGTAAACACCACAGTCAAAGTATTACCTTAATCTCTTTATTTGCAGTAATCTGATTATTTTGTGCACATAAACACATGTTGGCCTCTTAAATGCGTACAGATTTGGGACACAGCAGGACAGGAGAGGTTCCAGTCCTTAGGTGTAGCGTTCTACCGTGGAGCAGACTGCTGCGTCCTGGTGTTCGACGTGACAGCGCCCAACACCTTCAAGACTCTAGACAGCTGGAGAGACGAGTTCTTGATCCAGGCCAGCCCTCGAGACCCGGAGAATTTCCCCTTCGTGGTGCTGGGAAACAAGATCGACTTGGAGAACAGACAGGTGAGTCCAGATAATTACGTTTGATTGCCAGGGATGCTGTTATGTGCACCACTTGTTTGTGTTTTTATTGAAATGTACAGCTGTGTTTGGTAATTTTTGAGGTCTTAAAGTTTTGTTTAGTACAGATTTAAAGGGCTCTATGCGAAATTCAGAGCGTATGAGTTGTCTGGAAATGGTTGTCAACACAGAGGTGGCTGAGCTGGTGGCTCCATCACTCCATAAACAGCTGCATTAGCTGCTGATGGAGCTAATGTTAATGGCGACAGTGCCATCTCAATATCAGCGGTAAGCACCATATGAGCATAGTGGGACTCTACTTTTTTATGTCCACCACCTAGCAGGAAATGTGTGCTGTTTGGTGAGTGTTCATTTGCTACAAATTAGGTCTGCCTGCATAGTTCCTACCTGGTGCATGTCAACAAACTGTATGATAGTCTCTCTATTGTGAGGTGAACGGGAAAAAATGCAGTGATCAACACTGTGTGATTGGTCACATGTATATTTTGAACAACAAGCCACAAGCTGTTTAAAATCAATTCGCGAGCAAAAACTTCCCATCTGGCTGAACTTTTGACATACCTGGTTTAGTGCAAATCGGCAATGATGAGCTAGCCAGTGGGATACACACATGCACTAACATGCGCACGCATCTTGACCATCTAACGACGACCACCACTGCTCAGGACGCCATTATTCCACTGTATCTTTACACAGCAAATAATGGTTTGCTGTTATATTACAGCTCTGAGTGTCGGATACAGTACCTTTAAAAATAGCTTGGATTCAACAGCCTTTCTCTTGTGTCTGATGTTTCTAAGAATAACATTAGTTTCTTTGTGTTTCAGGTAACAACCAAGCGAGCACAGGTTTGGTGTCAAAGCAAGAACAACATCCCATATTTCGAGACCAGCGCCAAGGAGGCAATCAATGTGGAGCAGGCCTTCCAGACTATTGCACGCAATGCCCTTAAACAGGTAATTAAGGCAATCCAGAAATCCTGGTCAATAAGAAATCCTCAAGTCTTTAAAATCACTTCAATTAAATTTTATAAATATTAAACTTTGAAAGTTATTTAAATAGGCTTTAATCAGAATTTGTGAGGTCTTAATTGCGACAAACATTTAATTTAATTTGATGTTAACACATATTTAAACCTAACTGTGAAGATAATACTGTCTTTTTACTTTATACGTGGACCTAGCAGGCGGCAAAATGTATATTAAACTAATTGGGTCTAATAAGCATGTTCCTACATAAAACCTCTACCTCTAACCTGTACTGTTTCCCTTTATACTTCCCTGCAAAGCTTAAATAAGTACAAGATGATTTGTCCAAAAATCAGTCTTATATTTGGTTAGAAATGGTCTTGAAAAGCTCTAAAAGTGTCTTGGGTTACTGGGTGTCTTGTACATTTTTCAGCATGTGTTTCTATGAAAGCTGCAACTGTATTGTCTGATTTCAGGAGACTGAAGTGGAGCTGTACAACGAGTTCCCTGAGCCGATAAAGCTGGACAGGAACGAGCGGGCCAAGCCGTCAGCGGAGACCTGCAGCTGCTGAGGACTCTGAGGATCTCCGGGGGGTCGTCACTGCCCTCACTACCCTGTCTTGCCTTGTCTATATATCCCTTTTCCCATGGCCCACTGTGTTAATCTCCCAATGCCCAACATACAAGCAGCATCCCACTCATTGAGTATACTACGACACACACCGACATGCTGCACTCACCACCTTATGTACACAAAACACACATTTTCTATAAAATATGAGTCTCCTAGCCCAAAGAACACCCTGTGGAAACATTATGGAATTTACTTGTACGATGCTTATTACTTCCCAGTGTTTCTCCACGTACTTTTTCATGGCGGTGGTGGTTCGGGCTAACCTCATTCTCAGTTCCATATATATATCGCTGCTTTCACACCCAGTTTTGGTTCTAACTGCTTTTATTTTGGATACTTTAAGTGGTAAATTGAAGCATTATCTCTACGTGTTTGTGTTGATGAGTAAAGTTAGAAAACTTATGTTTTTGTTTTGTTTATTTTTAATCAAAGTTTCTTTAGCGGTGGTGGTTGTTTTCTTACTTTCTCGGCCCGCCACTGCTGCATGAACAGAGGAAACACTGCTCCCCCGATTTTACTCATTTGTGTTGTGGTTTAAATTGATTTCACTCTCAAAAACTCTTATGGTTTCACTTTACCTCTTTCGATCATAAAAGAAAAATACAAAATTCGGAAGTGAAGTAGTGAAGGATCAGAACGTATGAAGGTGCATGTGGGTCTCATTCATACGCTGCCTGCTGATTCTCAACGATTGGCGCAGAATTGAAAATCCAGTTCCACGACAAGTCCGTCAGACAAGTGTGTACAGGTTTTTGTTTTTGTTTTGCACTTTGCTGTCATCCACAATTGCTTAAGACTTGTTCAGACCTCTCATTTTGGAGCCACAATAAATGCAATTGTAGCTCAGGTTGAGGACATGGTGTGAATCCTCCTTGATGTAAGCGCGGTCCCTAACACACTAGTTGCTGTTCCTCTGTTGGGGAAATGAAGGTTCATCTTGTAATCAGTTCCTCCTGGTACATTTTATGTGGGAATGAACCAAATCAAGACAGCATGTCATTCTACCTGATAGTCCTGGGGAGGAGAGAGTTTTCTCAAGTATAAATATCATTCATAACTGAGTACTATTAGCTAGTACCTTTCTTTTTACTGTCAACTATTGCAAGACTTTGTATATTTGCAAACCTCTCAATCATTGTGTGGGGAAGGCAAAAAGTTGTGTTGTAAATCTCCATATCCGACTCTGCCAGTTGCTCGTGTTGGCAAACAATTTAAGTGCTTGACATTTCTTTTTAACCGATCAGATCTTTAACTGTCTGTTCGTATTATGTTAAAACTTTGAAATGCATTATAGATTACAAGATAGCATACATACTGTAACTTTGAAAGAAGAAAAAAATGTGGGGGGGGAAGTATTGGCATTCATCATTATTATATTATTAATATGATAAATGCATAGCATCTACATTGTTTCAAAATGTCTTTGCGTTTCAAGTAATAAGGGTAATAAAAATCTTGAATAAAGCATGCAGTGTTTATTTCTAACATTTATTCACAACATTTAGAAATGAAACAGTATCTGTGAAGCATTTTTTTACATTTAAAACAGTTACTACACAAAAGCTTTTCTTACACTTGTCAAAATACAGTAGTTAAGTAGCTAACGGTCAACTAAATACTGCAGAGTTGATGTCTTCATGTGGTTCTTGGTTTCTTGGCTCCCTGAAGCCACTGCTTAAGCGGCCCTGATGATTTCCTCCGAGCCCCTGCTTTGCTTTCTTGCTCTTCTTTGCTCTCACGCGTGCTGGGCTCCTTCCTCTTTGAAGGTGACGTGCTCGACAGCCAGCCCATCATCATCTTACTGCTGCCTGTGGGTTTGGGCTCCTGGGGATTAAAAATCAGATTTGTCAGCTCAAACCTCCCTCTACTGACACTGAAGAGTGATGCAGGGATGACCTTTTTTTGTAGGCCGACATGGAGGTCAGCATCGCCCTAGTTCCTTGGTCAAGAAGCCTATAACATTTTGTCAGTGGATTTTGGGTTATTGCAGAAAATAAGCTCTGTGGCAAACAAAAATTTATGATGCACATTTTGTTCAGCAAGATAATCTTCACAAATGAACATCACTTTTCTGATTTTTGAAGCCTGAATGCAATTGCCAGAAGTAAAAAGCTAACGTTAAGCTATTAAGCTATAAACTAACTACACCACAGTCACATGACTTAACATCCCTACCACAACGTGGCTGCAAAGCTGTGTTTGGCTTGACGATGTGGAATATTTACTGACATATTTTATGTTGTAGAACAAAACTTCAAAGTCTCTTAAGCTTGTGTTAACCACAGACCTTATTTCAGGCATCTAATCAAAACCCCATAAACTGACTTTTGACTCTAGGTAACCAGGAGTGCTAAAATGCTAACTCATTTCCGGGGTTAGGAGTCATTCCTAGAGCACTCTATACATCAGACCAGCAACACGTCAACCACAGTAAGCTCTTACGACCATCCCCCTTTTGAAAGGAAACAGTCCAGCGTTCTGTTCAGACAGTGAAAACTTACACAAAGGAAGTCAAAATACATCTCCAAACTTTCACTTAAACCAGTTTGAATTAATAGCGCAAGCTGAAGAGTTGCTGTACAGTTGGTTGCACCAGCAATAAATTCAAACACGCTGATCTCCAATTTGTTCCCCTACCATGTGGTAAAAAAGATTCAGGCTTCTGTTCCAAACTACAGACAAGAAAATGTGTGGTTGGAGAGAAATGGGGAAATGCCAAAAAGCTGTTGTGTAGGTGGTAACCAAGGTTTTCACAGTGAGATTTGAAGCAAATCAGATGTGTGAATATTAACTGTCATTGTGGTAAATCGCTAAATGATGCTGGTGACGGTTACTATTGATGGGTAACTAATGTTCGATTAAGTGGGAGGCTGCTGCAGTAATGTTACAGTCATACAGTGCAGCATCTCCAACTAAATCGCAACATAGGTCTTCACTTGGCTAATAAGAGGTTGGTTATTCACAGACAACACTTAGCCTAACAATACCTGATAATTTGATCAAATATAAGGGTCTGGAAAAGCAATATCGGGCCGCTGTGTTGGATCATCAATCTACTTGGGTAGGGGAAGACTGAAGGGACATGACGCCGATCAACCTTAATTTATTGTGGTATCACAAACACTCAGGTTCAAGCAAGGCTGCAAAACTATTAAACACGTTTATATAACAAACATTTGTTTAACAAGAAATAAATGCATTCAATCCAAACACAGGTCAAATTGCAGTGACATAAGCAGGATCTTCATCTTTTCTATCCTCCAAAAGGACACACGGACTTAAAATTCTGCTAACTACCCATATGTGCTGGTCTGATGTATATCACTAATTTTGTCAACCACAGTTAGTAAAATACCTCAGTAAATCTGATACCTTTTTGCTGTTAAGATCCACTGGTTGAAGGCACTCTGGAGAGTTGTTGCGAGAGTTATTCACTATCGAAGAGACGGGGTGGAAAGTCAAAATGTTTTTAGACTGGAGCAGTTTCAAGGCATCGAGAGACTTCACCGCCCCAAAATCCAGCCATCTTCTCACTTCTTCGTCTCCGTTCAGGATTGCTGGCATCCTGAAACATAACCACACAGTAATTTAGGATTTCATACGGGACACAAGTGAAGATAGAACATGTTTCCCAATCATTACCTCTCCTTACCTATTGTGGATGCTTTCCAGGTTTGGGGAAGCATTCACAGTGATAACACTGTAACTGTAAAGAGGTTCTCCACCATCTGGAGGTGTCCAGCAGTCAAACAGTCCGGCCATAGTCAGCAACTTCCATCCAGTCCACTCACCTGATGCCTCTCCTCCCTGAACAACACAGAGCAGAGGGGCATGGGCATGGTATCTTTTAAATAGTAAAAATAAGCATATTTTATGAAATAAAGTGACAGATTTTGTTGTTACAGTTGTATTTTTTTTTACACTCTTTAGCCTGGCACCAGCATCAAACCTAAAGCCTGACACACCTGGTGGACATATGCACATTTTTGCTCTGGCCTCTCTCCCACACAGGATATTTTCAGCCATGGTAATATCCGCCACCGCTGCATTCTTTCTACTTTTGTTCTGGATGAAAGCAATTGTTCATGGTGCTTATATTGCTATAGAAAACCCAATATGAACCTCGGTCAAGTCAGGGGAGGCCTTCTCTGGAGGGCACACCGTCTCTGAATTCTCCTTATTGCGAGCTGAGGTCTTGGGGTCATCCTGATCCCCTGTTTTCTCCTGGCTGCTTCCCTGAGTCTGAGGGAAGTATATGAAGAAAGGCTGCTTGTTCTTTTCCTGCTTCTTCCACTCATAAAAGCCATCAGCCAGGATGACGCAGCGCTGACCCTTTATGAGGGGATCCTTTAGGGGAGACGACAAAGTGTTATGACACTCCTGTGAGCATACGTCCAACAGAGACATAACACAGGAAAGACAATTTAGCTTCGCTTTTCCCTTAAACTCTATGCACCTTATATGATTTCTTCTCCAAGATATTCTCACTGCGGCAGTTGCTGGTGCTGTACTGCATCTTGCTGGGGTCATCCTGCTTGAACCAGGAAGGTACCAGACCCCAACGCATGGAGGCCAACACACAGTCATCGACAGGAGCATTCTGAGGACAAACAAGGGGTGAACACAATATCATGAGCACCTACAATATATATTGCTATCCACTGCAATAACCCTGCAGCATACTACCTTTTGAGGGCGTACAGTGGTCCTTATAGTTTAGACTGTGACAGAAGAGTTTATATAGTTTTAGCTCCTTTTTGTGGCATTGTTACATTGAACTGTACTGTATATTGTTATGTGTACCAAGACGTGTCTCTTGACGTTATAGGGCCAAATCTTCAAATAATGTTTACCTGGGCCAGGTGGTAAAATAGTCACTAAAACAGACAGACATAAAAGCATGCAAACAATTAAAAGCATAAATGAAAACTGAAAACTGAATATTAAATAAGCCAAATAGTAGAAGATATTAGAGTGAAGACTACATTACACCTGACACACACAGACAGACAGCAAGAAGGATGTGGACATACAGTGGAGGCTTGTGGAGGCTATGTGTGATACACACCTAGTTGCTTATTAGCTGAAATTCAGATTGTGTATGAGGAAGAGGGCTGGGCAATATGAAGATATATCGTTATCGAGATATGAGACTATAAGTCATCTAAGATTGTGGTTATCATTGTATCATGATTTGGCATAAATGGTGTTCTTTCCCTTGTTTTAGATGGCTTCATTAAAACAAAGTGACTGACGTAAAATATCAACTGACAAGACTATTGTTTTTGTTTTAAAGCTTGCCTTAACCCACTTAGTCATTATATCCACATTATTGATGATTATTAATCAAAATCTCATTGTATTAGTATTTTCTGGAGAAAAATCCCTACAACTCAGAAGGTATTTGTTCAGAAATACTGTTATGTTTTATTTTGTCTCCCTGTCCTATCACTGATTAAGTGTTTTAGAGTAAATTTGAAAATATCGAGACTTATATCATGTAACGAGATATAGCCTAAAAATATCATAATATAATCTAAAGGACATATCACCCATTTCATATGTACTAGAAGTGTGTTACATGTCTGGGAAGCTCTCACTGTAAAAGTTAACTGGCCGAATTTGTCCTTGGGTTGTGGATCTCGTTTAAACCTGTCATTAAGAGCTTTCTGTAGTGAAAGTGATTTGTAGGGAAGGTGCTAGACCATGAAGGATTTTAAATATTAGGCAGATGTCTTGAAACTTGTCTTAGACATGTCTTCCCTGCTCAGGAGATCATACTTAGGCAGTGTGTTGCATGATGATGAGGTTTTGGGTTTGATATCTAAAACTTTAAGAGACTGTTTGAATACAGACTGTATGGGTTTCAGGATTGAATCACTGGTATGAAACCAGATAGTTAGACAGTACGTGATATGAGGGAGAATCGTGGTATATTATATATAATAGATATAACAGGTATAAGGTTATCTCAAGCTGTATTACTTGACTGTTGCCAGAACATTCTTCACTTGCTTTTTAAATGAGAGACATGCCCCTAACATGATACCAAGGTATTTAGCATCCTTCAGTTAAAACAGTTCATGCATCTCATTCACGCAGAGAGAGTTACAGGTGGTCTCACCTTATCAAAGTGCCTCCGAGACAGCAGGACGGGGCTCATCGACTGGGGGCTCTTGTTGTACGAGGGTCGGTATTTGTCCGCATCTCCATCCCTCCAGCGGGGCTGTCTCCGCTGCCCTCGCCGGTTCCTGTAGGAGCAGGCTCGGCTCACCTCGTCAGGAGCAAGCGTACACGCAGTTCTTCCACACATTTTACGGCGAAAACAACTTTTCAGCCACCTGAGAGAGACTTACAACATACGCAGTAAGTTAACACTTAGCATGTTAGCTTGAGTTATTGTCAGCTAACATTTTTTTGTCACTGGCTGTAAAGGCGCCATTTATAAACGCTGCTTGACTCAC